CCTTCCTTCCTTCCTTCCTTCCTTCCTTCCTTCCTTCCTTCCTTCCTTCCTTCCTTCCTTCCTTCCTTCCATTTTATTTAACAATAATACAACATATACAGATATAGATATAGATATTTGCTTCCCTCTTTTAAAAGCTACATCAACAGTACACTGTGCTTGTTTTATTTTTTTTAGTCTTACTATAATCTTTTTATTTTATTTAAAACAGAGGTGTACAGGTAGTCCTCACTTAACAACCAGAATAGAGACCAGAAAATTGGTTTGTTAAGCAGGGCAGTCGTTAAGCAAGTCACCATGTGACCAAACCCAATTTTATGACCATTTTACAATGGTGTTAAGCGAATCACCACAGCTGTTAAGCAAATCATGTGGTCATTAAATGAATCCAGTTTCGCCAATGGACATTTTTGCTGGAATTCGCTTAACGACCACATGATTTGCTTAACAATGTGGAGATTCACTTAGCAGCCATCGTAAAAAAGGTTGCAAATCATGAACATGTGACCACGGGGGTGGTGCAATGGTTTGTAACGGTCATAATTGTGAGTACAGGTTGTAAAGCACTTTTTCCGAGGCCCTGTAACTTCGAACCATCATTAGTCATTAAGTGAGGACTATGTGTATTTTCAAAAAAGATATTATCTATGAATGCACAAATAATTACTCAAGTTATACAATTATTGCTCAATAAAGCATTAATAAAAGATACCATGCAGAATGTATTGTTTTTATGATATAAAATAATATAAATAATACAGGTAAGTATTTAATTTCTGATTCTCCCCTTCTATGTATTCCAACCAATTTGCAGTACCTGTTGCCTTAAGCTTTAGAAACCATACTGTAGAAAGTACAACCAACCCATCTTCCCCTCCCTCCCTGCCTTCCCCAATCTCATCTTAATTTCAATCTAGCCACTTTATGCATCTGTTGAAGTGAGCTGCAGCTCCCAAAAATGTATGCATTTTAATAACATTTGTTAATTGGAAAAGGTGCTACTAGATTTGGTCTGATCTTTTGCCTCCATAGAATACCACGGCTCCTTCCTACAGTAAACATCTTAGTGACTGATTTGGAGCGAGTTGTTTATGTCTAGATAGGTGACTCACTGGCAGCCAGACAGTGAGATAGAGCCCTCTAATGGGGTTAATACTACAAGTTCTCCTGCTGTAGGGTTTTCAGCACTGAGAGGCCTTGAGGCCATGCAAAGCAATTCCAACTGTAGCTCAGTGAACATTACCATACTGATTATGCATGGCTCCTTTTGGTCTGGTATAGATTGCAGGTGGGGGTTCTGAGATCATAGGAGTGGGCTGTGTCCCACTATCTCCAATTTGGACAATACTGATCCACACCTTAATGGTGAGTGGAAAAACAGGAGCAGTGACCAGCCCAGTGTCAGATTAGGTTAGGTCAAGTCAGAACAGAAGGGGAGGGGGAGAGAGGGGGAGAGGGGGAGAGAGAGAGAGAGAGAGTGCTAATGTTAAATGGTAGTTATCTGTTGTGAGTAGCCACTGAAGAAGGCTATGGGAGTGTTTCTATTGGTGAAGTATAATTTACTCCCTCACCCATTCTGGTGGGGCTTTTGAATGTGATGCTCAGAGACCACACCAATTATTAACTGAAAAGTTGAAAGGAGAAGAACAATTCCTTCTTTTAAAACTGTATATACGCTACCCCTAACCAATTACTCAATCAGAGGTCAGCTTAATTAGGACATATTTGTCTCCAATTTTCTTCCAACATGGCAACAAGAAAAAAATGTCAGTGTTTCTTAAACCAGGCATTAATCAGACAAAAAAGCTTGAACAGAAATAATATTATTCAGGCTACAATGACTAAACATATAGAAATATATTTTATACTTTTTGCTAAGAAACAATGGCAAGTTTACCAAAAAAAAAATGCTGTATGTTTTCTTTTTCAATAAAGCAAGAGCTTTCTTGGGCAGCGGGCCTCATAATATACTGTCTCTACAAACCTTACCAGATGAATTGGAGTCTGACTTGGTAAGGTAGGATCAACAATAGTTAAAGCAATGAGCCACAAATGAAATGTATATGGTTGACAATCTAGGTAATAATTTCATTACATGTTAATATACTGAAGTGATATTCTCATATGAAGTATAGATGGCATGAAAAAAAGAGTCCAGTACTCTATACAGAGATAATTCCTACAGTGAACAGCAAAGCTGCAAAATAAAAACTAACCAAAGCAACTGTTAGATAGTGCATTTCAAGTGTTTGGCTGCTTTACTTAATTTGTGGGCATGTTATATAAATGCACCCTCTACTGGATCCCAAAATTACAGCAACTATCCAGATTTTAAGATAAGGATAAAATTTCCCTGAGTCAAGCTCAACTTATAATGACTACATGGACAAATTCATGTTATTTTCTTGTAAAAAATATGGAAAGAGTTCCCCACTGCCTTCTTGTAGGATTTGTTTTCTAAAAAATCCCAATCTAGCCTCCAGCCCTGCAACTTCCTAGTGATCTTCCAGTTGAGATGTAGATCACACCTGGTTCTGCAAAGCTAGCTAACGAGCCAGTTTCACCTTCATCTAAATTTTATTAGACTAGTTTTGCAACCTGAAAATGCAGGATAATGTCGAAAACCTTCCTGGGACTTTCAACAAGATGTAAAGTCATTATTCTAAACCCACTTTTAGGGTCTAATACAAGATCCCCCCCCCCAAAAAAAATCTTTTTGTACTCCTGCGTCCCTTGAGATTACCCAAACTCTACTGATACTACCCTCCTGAGCATTGATAGTATTATTTTGGCTACATAAATGATATACTCTAAATGAATTTTACCTTATAATTTAGTAAAAGTTTCACAAGGTGTTCAAACCCCAAAGACTGGCTCCCAGATTGGTGGCATCTATAATATCCTTCTTATGTGAAAGAATGCTCCCAGAAGTAGTCAGCTCTCATCAGGCTTACAAAGTAATTTTATTGACTGAAAAAGAGAACTGTTTGCTTTCCTCATCTGATATGCAGGATAGCATATCCTTCTCCTATCTTGGATGGAATGCTACTTTACACCAAGTCAGACTCCAATTCATAAGAACATTATTTATAAGATTGGCAATAGCTTTTCCTTTAGGGTTTCAGGCAACAGCCTCTTCTAGGTGCCCAGGGGACAGTCTGAGTAGCATACTGTATATTTTGACATTGAAAAAAATAGCATTTTTCTGCCAGTGAATGGAGCACTGTGAAGCTGATCTCCTTGTTGTGTTCCAAAAAGCCTGGTGCTTGAGAGGGAGAGGACTAGCCTGCTGGCATTGTGCCCTTTGATGTGCTGTCTTTGAACCCAATCCTTCCCTCCTGCCCATAATAATTATCTTGGAGGAAATTAGCTTTCCCTTCCATTTTGAAACAGTTATATGGAGAAGTAAAGCTATGAATTATTCCTTTGTTCTCTCAAGTATGCAAGATTCTATGTCATGATTAAAAAAAATCTAAGAACTCTGAACTTACCAATAAAATCCAAAAGTACAAGGGATTGTCATAAAATGCATGCTGCTGTGAAGCAACCATTGAACAAGTGGAAAATATGAATTTTAACTGCATTATATAAAGACAATTTGTGACTCACTTGAATTTGGGTAGCCCTTCAGTTCTGAGACACGAAAATAATACAGCATCTATCACAATAATATTTGACACAATATAGGGGGTCAGCCTGTATTGGCTAAGAACATTTTTCCAAATTTGAAAACGACTTCCCAGCTTCTTCTGCCTCAGTGTGAAAAACTCAAAAGGTGCAAGAAATTTCCTACTGATAAGTTTTACAGCAGACTTGCTATTGTTCTAGAGAGAACCATAAATAAAGTTATTCCTCACGGAAATACTCAAGAGGGAAATTTTTAGAAGTGTTGATAAAACATGAAGAGAAATGAGTGTCCTCACCTGGTATGTACACTGTCAAGAAAAGGTCCACTTCTTGCTTTTAACTGGTCAATTTCTAATCTCAACCTGTCAATTTCATCAGACAGCCTTCTCTGTTCAGAATAAAAGCAGAAATTGTTTCTCTACAATGAGTTACAACTAACCATCAAAATGAATACATTTGTGAAGTTAAAATGCATGCAAGCAAATAACGATGAGACAAAGCAGGAAACAGCGAAGTATTAGTGCAAAGAGACAGACAGAAGGGAGACACTTCTAAATTGCTATCCAAAAAAGGTTGAGAGCATGCTAGAAAATATTCTTTCACAAAATAATCTATATCTAAAAAATAGAATTAACCTCATACTTGGGACCTATCTATCTAAATTTTACGTGAATGTAAGCCTTAACCGTATATTTTCTAGATTATGACTTTGCACTTCCTTTACCTCTGGTTTATTTGCATAAGTATGGAGGTTGGAATTATGCTTTTCTAATCAGTAAAGGAAGGATCAAGTACTTCATCATACAACAATTACAATCACTAGCAGTTATTGCCACGTAAACTATCAGCCATGCCAGTATGACTATTAGATATCTTCTGACTGTGTTACTTCAAGGCATCAAAAGCAACTCTAATAAATATGCCTGGTACTCCTTACACAAGGCTTAGTAATAGCATTTACCTTGTCATGCTGCTGCTCTTCAATCTGTTTTTGAGTATTTTCCAATTCTTGCAACAATGTGTTCTTAAAAACCAAAAGATATGTAGTTAGAAACAAAAGGGGCCTGAGATGAGGTGGTAGAGAGTAGAACCACTTACCATCAAAATAAAGTTTTCACAATTATTAAAACAAGTAGCTGATATGGAGCAAGACTCATGAGCTGGATTGAGAATGGTGCTAGTTTCAAGAGGAGGAATGATTTCACTGAAACAAATTACACATAGTAGATACAGGAGAAGAGATGATTCTCCTTAGAGTATCATAGAAATGGTTGAAGGGTAAAAATCTCTCTCCTCTCCCTGCATGATCCCAAATCAGTCCCCCTGCCCTTATGCTACCTGATTACTTAAAATCTTATACAGCAGACTAACCACAGGACAAGTGGAAAAGCTTGTTTAGTCCTAACTGTAAATGTTTCATAAACTATGAAAATGGACTAGAAATATTTTTGACAGTGCTGTACAGCAATAATATTGTTCGTTAGAATTGTAATAATTATACATTATTTATAATTCATGAAGATAAACAAAACAATTATACATTATTTATAATGTATAATTGTTTTGTTTATCTTCATGAATTGCTCTGAAAACCATTTATTTATTTGTTTGTTTGTTTGTTTATTTATTGAATTTGTCACTGCCCATCTCCTTAAACAACTCTTTTAGAAAAAATATACACTTCAAATATAAGTTGTGAGTAAAGTATCTTCAGGTCTTTAAGTATATTTAGTAGTTTCACTGAAGAGATCACTGAAGATTCAAACAATTCTGGTGGTAGGAGAACTTGGACGATTAAATGCATTATTCAAGACAGGTTTTTCAGTTCAAGAATATTAATTATGTATACGAGGGGATCTTTTATTATATACTTATCATGTAACATAAGCTTGAAAAAACTTTGAAGTGAAGGGAGACTGCTTAATGCCATTAGAATTCAAGTGCTAGAGCCATATGTCAACCCTTCCAGGTAGGCCATGTCAAGAAACAGATATTGCAGGGATACCAGGAATTCTACTTCACTGTTGCTGATATATTAAGAGGAGGTAGTCCCCAGGTTAAGTAAGAATGCTTGGTTTAAGGACAACCCATAGTTAAGAATGGAGCCTATTGTAGCAAAATTTGAGTTAAATACACAATGATTAGCATTAAACACACAATGATTTGAGTTCATTATACAATACTACTTATACAGTATTATATAATAATACTGTTCTGCCTTACTTACAAATTCGACTTAAGGACAGATATTGGGAACAGAACTTGTTCTTAAACTGGGGACTACCTGTATCTTGCAAGCCTGTTCAATTTCTCTCCCCCCAGTCTTATACAAACAAAATCAAGGGATGGTTACTTTGAGTTCTTTCTCGTGCTTCTATCTCTGCAGTGTGTCCAAGTCCCTCCTTAACAGTTCATTCCTTCCTTCCTCCCATAATGGCTCTTTCAAGCATTCTCCAAGGTCAGTTGTACCCCATTCTTCTTTGTGCTATTCTCTTTATGACATTTATTAGCATGATAGGTATGTACATATGGGATATGATTCTTACTGAGCTGCTTAATGAAGATCTGACATGTAGTCACTAACAAAAGGAACAGCAATATTGTTAATTAGATAGGAATTGGACTGCTAAATGTGTAGGCAATTCAGACCTCTAGGCTGTTTCTTTGTTTATTTTATTGGGCTTACAGACAACTTTAATTGCAAATTACTTTGAGTAGCATGTACCTGAGTTGGGTCATAATATATAGAATAACAGTCAAGTCACATCAACATCTGAATATAAGAACAAATATAAATATAAAGCCACGAACATTCATCCATTGCTTGCCCAAAAAATATTCCAGTCAGAGAGAACAATATTCCAAATCCAAGGGCTGCTGAAATAACTATATTTAATGGCCTTCCTAAAAACCATTGGGAAAGGAGCCAAATGGGGAGTTGAGGATGGGGGGTTAGGGACACTGTTCCACAAAAGAGAACAGCAATTGGGTTGTTTTTGTGATCCTTGAAGATGGCACTCCCTGAGCAAAAAGATATGAAGGGAGCCTGCTCCAGCAGATCTAATTGGAAGGGCAGATTACTGGTGGTCGTGCAGACATTTTAAAGGTGACAACCTTCAACTGCACCCAGAAGCCAGCTGGCAACCACAGTAGTGATGTTATAGGGGTGAATCAAGATATGCCTGTAACTTGGTTATGATTATTTTGTAATCCTATCTATATTTATTTTGTAGGACTACCTCTTCACAAAAGTCAACCATTTTGCAGTAAATCAACAAAAGTACCTGTCTTGTCCACAAACTCCCTACTGTGTCTCAAAAAAATAAAATCTGGCTTTTTGATAATATGTGTGTTTGTGTGCGTGTGTACACATACAAATACACACGTAGAGAGAGACATGATAAGTTTCTCAGCAACCCAAGGTGTGACTGTGGAACAAGGAAATAAAGGGATTTCAAAAAATGTTAAAAGCCAGAATTCTATTCCATATTTATTGCAGCAGTTATTTAAATCATACTTTCGTAGTTCTTGTATGATAAGAACAGAGAGAAAAATCCCAGAAAAGAGGCAAAGTCTTGTAAAAAACCAAGGCAGCAAAGAGTCAACCTCTCTGTCCATCCTGTCCCCATGCTCTAATGCTCTGCAGCAATAATATTTTTCTAATATTCCTTTTACGCAAGTCATTGGCTAGCAGCTACAATTATTATTCAGAACATCTATGATACGACCCATCAAACAGCTTAGTTTCTTTTTTAAGATGGATATTTGAGATTGCCAAAATTACAGTGTCATCATAGTTTTCAGCAAAATTAATTTTCCTACTGAATATAACATAACAAAAAGGTCTGTCACTATTACCTTTTCTTCAAGGGCTGCCATTCTCTCTTTAAGGTGAAGCTGAAGCCTCTCATTGGACTCACTCAGCAGCCTGTCCACAGTATCAGAGAGCCTCTTGTTATGTTCCTCATTCATTTTTTCCCGTTGACGGGCCTGGGGAACATATCAACATCAGCCAAGTATTCCCAAGCAATTTGCCCTGATATTGTATTAAAATTAACCTTAATGATGCAAGAAAACAGAAATTACTCTTCACTATAACTAGCCCATTATAATGTAAGAACATATTTGCAACAATATGAAGGCTATTTATTGACTAAAAAATATAAGAGAGAACTATCCTCTAATTTTTTTTAACTTACACCATTTGAGAGAATCCTATGAATTCAATTGCACTGAAAATCAGAGGTGAGTTGCACTACTAATTTGAGCAAAGATTTATTCTAGGATGTAATGATATTCAAAATGTTACCATCATTAACTATTGTTAAACTTTTAATTAATTAGTATATCATAGAATCATAGGGTTGGAAATGCTATGAGGTCTTCTAGGGCAGAAATCCTCAGACCATCCCAGACAAATGGCTGTCCAACCTTTGTTGGAAAACCTCAGGTTATGGAGGGAGGCACCCATGACTCCAGGAGGCAGGCTGTTCCACTGCTTAATAGCTCTCTGAGTAGGAAATTCCTCCTTATTTCAAGTTTGCATCTCTCTATACAAAGCTTCCACCTATTGGTTCTTGACTTACCCTCAGGCACTATGGTGAATAAATCCACTCCCTCTTCCAGCATTCAAGTATTGGCAGTCTGATATCATGCCTCCCTTTTGCCTACTTCTTTAAGCTAAACATACTCACTACTTTTAATTCCTCTTTATAGGATTTAACCTTGAAGCCTCTCAACACATTTGTGCTCTTCTCTATACTCTTTCCAGTTCTTCAGCATCCTTCTTGTATCATGGCAACCAAAACTAGACACAATATTCCAGATGCAGTCTGACCAGGTCAGCATAAACCAGAAGTATCATTTCCCATGATTTCAATATTATTCCTATATTGATTCAGGCCAAGACTGCATTGGTTCTTTTGCAACACTGTTAGCTCATGCTTAATCTGTGGTCTACAGGACATCCAGATCCTTCTCCTAAGTACTATTGCCAAGCCAGGTCCCGCCTATCTTGTACCCATGCATCTGGGTTATTTTTCCACCCACATTTCGGTGGAAAATTACATTTCTTGCCATTGCATTTTGTTGGATAGGGCCCAAAGTTTAAGTCTATCAAAAACCTTTTGAACCTTGAACCTGTCTTCTGCGTTGTTAGCAGTCCTCCCCAGCTTTGTGTCACCTGCAAATTTGATGAGTATCCCTTCTATCTCCTTTTCTAAATTATTTATAAAAATGTTTAAGAGCACAGAGCCCAGGACAGAACCATGAAGTACCCCACTGCATACCTCAGTCCATATGGAGTTAGATCCATTAAGGACTACATATTGGGTACAACTGTTCAAGCCTGACATAACTTACGTTTAAGAAACCTATGCTGGCTTCCAATAACCACCTTGTTCCTTTCTAAGTGCTTGCAAACACACTGCTTGATTATTTTTTCTAGGATTTTCCCAAGTATTGATGTCAAGCTGATTGGTCCACTTTTCCCCTTTTTTAAAAGACTGTAACAATGTTACAGTGTCTTCTCCAGTCTCCTGGCACTTACCCTATACTCGATATAAAGGGCCATAGCATGACATCTCAGAAGTAAGACAGAGGCAGAAATGGGGGAAGGGAATGTAGAAATAGGGTTTCAGACAGAAATCATCATAGATGGCACTATTTGATCTTACAACTCAAATTAAATTAAGAAGTGCACCTAACACAACTATACTGTATTTGCATATACTACACATGGAGCTAAAGTGATTTCTTCTATTGCTGAGTGCCATAACTTTAACCACACTATAACAACCTATCACTTAACCATCACTTAATAGTGTGGTTGAAGACTTAAGATAACCATGTGGGATACTCTTTCTCATAGCAAGCTACCCACGTGATGTCACATTTGTGAATAAAAATATCACAGAAGCAAACATAACAGGTAACACCAAGTTATCATTTTCTTTTTGACAATATCCTGACCTGAAATAATATAAAGCTACATTCTCTACAGAAAACAACTTACCCTTGCCAATTCTTGGTTCTTCTCCTCCAACTGAGTTTCCAGTTGCCGCAGTCGTTCTTCAATACTGCCATGCCTTTCCTCAGCCTATACAGAAAAAGACATTCTCTAAGGCAGTGGATCTCAACCTCACCAAGCACTATATAAAAGAATCAGAATCCCATCAAGATAAAAATAAAGTACTGACTTTTTCTAAGAATGATATTTGTATATTTATATGACTTCTGTTATATATTTATTGATTATTGTAAGTTTTAAGTTCATGAAGAAATGTGCTTAAGAATACTTTGTACAGATATAACTGTAAAACAAACAGATAAGAAATAATTTCATATTAGCCTGTGGTTATATTTCACTGACTGGCATCCCAGTAAAAAAAATCTAATATCGTCTTACATTGGAGTAAGGCATTGTGATTGTATTCTGAGACTTTCTTTTTATACTACTCCAGTGTTAGAAGAGATCTGATTTTCTTCTGAGACAGAATACAAATTCAGCCAATCGTAATGAAATATCTGCTTGTTTCTGTCCAAATATAATTTTTGTACAGCCCTAATCTAACAACTACTCAAACGTATACCTCCTGAATAGTAGTACCTCACTGATGACTCAAAAGATCAATTTACTCAAACATATGCCTCCTGAATAGCAATACTTCACTGATGATTCAAGAGACCAATCTTTCTCCAATATACAGCTTCCTCTAGTTCATATCATAGGCAGCAGGAGCTAGAAGTTGGAAAGACCATCTCTGTTTCTTCTGCCCACTATAATGCCATCACCCAACCCAGCAATCCAAGCTGCCTCCAGCAAAACTGGAGACAGACTGATAGAAGGGCAAGCAATCAATCTCTCATTATTTCCCATGCATGGATTTAAATAAATTAATCACATCCCATCCACAGTCCTTCTACATGTCATCAATGAACAAATAAGTTCTGGAAATATGGGTTGGGGAGGAATGGAGAAGACTTGTTCTTATATAAGATTGCACCTACATATCAGATAAGTATAACCAAGCATCTGGGATACAACCAATGTGGATTTGTCTTTGTAAGGTATTTGGATAGGTAGCAAACTATTCTCTGGGAGATTCTAGAAACAGACCTTCTCAAGCCTAGGGCATGGACATGAATTTCCTGTTGAGTTCATCACTCTTAAGGTTGAGAGAGCTTTTTGAATCTTGCAGCACATATTTCCCAGGATTGTTCTGGTTTGTATCAAGCCTTATAAGTACATATTTCATTTAAGAGGTGTATAACATGCTCCCATCTGATTTCTTAAATGCATCTATGTGCAGATAACAGACTTTATATCAAGGCCCCAGACTAAAAAAATCACACAAAATATCTGACTATTTAATGGGATAGAATGTGCTTTAAAGCATCCTTGGGCAGCAATGATTGCCCTCCAATTCTATATGTATTAAGCAATAAAGCCCAGTATAATCAGTTGAAAAGTTCAGCACAACCATTCTTACTTGAAGCTACCAGCCTAGGAGGTAGCTATACACAAACTGAATACAAGCTGAATGTTTCAATCAATTCCAAAAAATTAACTCAAAGTAACCCAATTCAGTGCTTCAGCTATTCAGAGCTTCAGTTTTTCTCATTTACATAGCATCAACTATTTGAACTACATCACAGCTGATCTGTACATCCCTAGTAGCTACTTCTTAGGATAATTATGTCCCCTAAGAGAACTTTATGCTAGTCTAATTGATTATGCTGAGCTTTTCATTTTTTAAAAAAATTTTTAGAAGACAGAAGAGCAGTTCATGACCTTTTCTAACTTTCTTTCCCATCCCAGGAAAGTTATATGGCCTGGACAGATGCCAAACCATCCAGTATCCTGGGCTTTACTGAAAGCTCTTTATGGTCTGATCTACTTGCCTTGGTGAGAGCTGCTATTCTTTGGGCCAGCTCAGCCTCCACCTCAGGCAGAGTCTCAGCTTTCCTCATTGTCTGCTGCAGTTTCTGCTCTGCCAGTTCGAGAAGCTCCTGGAGGTGCCGTGCCTTCTCTTCACACTGTGGAACAATGAAGAATGGCAGCAATGTATAGAAGGAGCCAGAAATGCTAAGGATACAGTAGTTCCAGATTATGCCATTGCTATGTGCTCCAATGCGTATATTCAAAACAGATTCAAAGAAGAAGCTTGGAATGCTAGTTTTCATTATGCATGCTTTTGATTCTGATTTAAAAAGCTGAGCATCAACATTTATCACTTTTGTGGAATATTTAAATTGTTTTCATTACAACACATTTAAAAGTTGTGCAAAATGTCCTGATTCAAACACTCTTGACTCCAAAATGTCCTGTCTCTATTCTGACTATGTAAGACAACGATTTAAAATGCAAAATAGGCTGTTTTGAGCATTTTTAAGTGATTCAACCTGAAAACAGTATGTTTTGCATTTGAAACAGAAGTTTCTCAACTTAAAACATTTCTAAAATGCTCAAAATGGAATGTTTTGAATTCAGGATGTTTCAAAATCAAAACATTCTGCACACCCATATTAATTTTATATATTGTGAAGTTTCTTCATAAATATTTTATTGGATTTATTTGTCATTCTGAAAGTTTTGGTAATGGAAGGGTAGCAAATATCCCCTCCAAATAAATAAATAAATAAGTTAAGCAACAGCAGCAAATCTCTACAAACATTTTAAAATTATGGTCTCCTACTCTGGGTATTAAACCACCAGATAAATGGATTTGGGCCTGAACAAAACTAAGTTCAATATTAGGTATAGCTTGGAACCTGTACATAAAGATCAGCTGCTCCCACATGAATCAGTAGGCTATTAATATAATAGGCTGGTTTCTGAATGTTCCCACAATCAGAAAATAGACCTTTTCGATTGTGGTGCCTCATGTGTGAAAAGGTTACATGCTATCTAATTTAATAGCCATGGAGTTGGCAAGGACAAGGCTTTAAATCTTTTTGACTCAAAGAAAACTGTTTTTAATTTTAACTGTCTTTACCCTTTAAACATTATTTTAAAATTCTGTAGTTTTATTATAGCTTTATGTGCAAGAACAGCCAAGCCCAACTGCCCAGTTAAATAACTGGTCACAAAGGCAAAGTAGTAGTGCTTCTGGGAAAGAATCATCTGAACGAAAAGAATATCTAGGAAGAAAGTTCTGCTAAGGAGGCAAAATGGGCATTCAAAAATAGAGTGCATCTTCCATAAAAATATCAATCAAACTGCCATTGGCATTCCATGTGCCATTACCTGGCGATGGAGAGACTCTTTATTGGCAAGCTCATTCTCCAACTTGTCATTAAGGTCATGAATAGAAGTGGCTTCTCTCTGGGCTGCCAGATAGCGTTTCTCTAGGGTGGTAATCCTCTCCTCCATGTCTTCTTTCTGTGCCAAAGCCTGGGAAAGGAAATATTAAAAATACAGGTTTACTTCTACATGCATAGTCTAGCTCCATTGTAAATCAGATTGAATCACCCTGTATCCATTTTTCCACTGCTATAGTTGGTTAGAAGTGGGCAACAAGTGCTGGAAAATTCCATCACAAACCCTCTGATACCTGGCAGGAAATGATATTCTACACACCATGTGCAGTGGAAGAACTTCTGTAATACTGATTGGTGCCATTCACTGTCTGTCAAATGTACTGTCTTGGGGGTTTCAAGAAGCAAAGGGAGCAAGGAAGAGAGGCTGATATAAACAAAATGTAACTTGGGTTTTCAAAGACTTGCACTAAATATTTAAGGAACCTGCCAAGGTTTTTAAAAAATTTTAACAGAGTACTCTAAACTAGGTTACCTTTCTGGAAAGGTTTAGAATAATTTTGTAATTTATCATTGCATAACTAAACCCATTTCTCTAGCTACTTCAGTAAACTCAGGCTGCTATTCGGCTTCAGCTGTAGCTAGAAAAACTGAGATTATTTTAAATTGATTTAGAGTTGTTGTTTTTTTGTATGCCATCATTTTCACAACTGGAATTTAGCTCTCTAACCTCTCGCAGGTCCCTCTGGTACTTGCTGCTCATTTCTTCAGATTTGATGAGGTCCCTCCTGGCTGTGCTTAGATCTTCTTCAAGCTCAGCAACACTGGCAGCCAGACCAGCTAATCGTTCTTTAGCTTGGTTTAGTTCAAAGTTTTGTTTCTCTAGAAGCTCCTGCAATTCCACAATCTGACTTGCCTCATCATCTGGATGTATAGAGCCATTAGGGAGTCTCTGTCAAATAATACAGTAAAAAAAAGTTTCCAACCCTTTTCAGAGCAATAGAGAGTAGATAAATTAGAGTACGGAACAAGTGTCATTGCGTGTTTCTAAAATCTATTCAACAACTTCCAATGAATCAATAATCCTTTTTATCTCTAAACAAAATAACAAGGTATATAGCTCTACACAATATGCCTTTTGAAAATAAGATGTCTAAATCAGAAGAACTCTTGGAACAACTGGGAAACTATTCAATCAGCCTATTACAAAATTTTAGAAACACAGCAAAGAAAAAACAAGCTTTGCCTATAGGCAAAAGAGTCCCATGGAACATCATTAACTGGAATCACAATTGCAGACATACAGTATTTCAACTGGATTTCATCCAATTCCCAGAAGATTGCCTCTCACCTTCCAAAGCATCTTCTGTCCAGATTCTTTACCATCAGTCCTTTTTTCATCTTCTCCTACAGGTGGTTCCCTTGGGGAAGAACCTTGCTGAAGAGCATTTACCTGTAAAATACAACTTACTGTTACTTACAGTTCTCATAAATGTGGGAAAAAAAGAATGCAAAACACACTCACAGCACAAGGGATTTGGAACACTTCTGACTGTAAAACATTATTTTAAAAGCTTTCAAAGGAGGTGCACCTATTTTTTTCGCTTATGACAAATGATTTGGAAAGAAAAATCCACATTCAAATAAGTTATTTTGTGCAAAGTTTAAACTATGTGATATAAGAGCATGCATGTATTTAACTGACCTCACCCCTTACACTGCTGCCACCTATTCTGTCATGTTCTCCCCCCCCCCCTTCCTTGGATATGACATTGTCTAGGTATTACAATAATGACAGATCGCTATGCACTGTCACATCAGGCTTTGCTCATCCATGCCATGTGCTTGTTGCAAACAGAACTGACAGATTATTTGAGAAACATTCCTATCAAATCTGGAGTAGAAAATGAAATGCATATTTACTTGCTGGTGGGCACTGGATAGCTGTTCTTCTAATGTTGCTACTCGTTCCAATGCTGCCCTTAGGCGTTCTCTTACCTGAAAATGTTAAGAAATAAAAGTGTTATTTAAAAGTGAAACTGATAAATAAGTCTCAGAGAGGTTTCTTGCAGTTTATTGGCCTAAGGTCTCACATTTAACAACATCTAGCATCTGGAAATCCATTCATAATATAAACAATTTAATGAGATCACTCTCCCCTCACATTATATGCCAGAAGGGTGTCAAACTGTCAGCAATAGGAGCCTGGTATCACATTCAAGTAACGCTCTTGTGGGAGACTATGATCTTTTATATAGTGATTTGGTCTGCATCTGGAAAGAGCCCTGCATGTCAACATAAACAGAAGATGAACTCAGGAAAATTGTCTAAATCAGTGTTTCTCAACCTCAGCAACTTTAAGATGTGTGGACCAACTCCCAGAATTCTCCAGCCAGCATTCTGGGAGTTGAAGTACAAAACTGAATTAGAGTGGAAGTGGATGGCTGGAATATCCCTTTAGAGGAGCACTTGCACAAATTCATTCTTGACAGCAGCTTCCTGGAATGTAAAACAATAAAACTTGAGAATTTTCTCCAAAAGACAAGATCTTTCAATACGGAAATCATTTAGTGAAAGAATCAAAAGACTGATAAGAGAGCTCTAAGAAAGTGCTGAGCCAAAGCAATACTTGGAATCAGTACAACTTTGTCACCTAAAAGATTCTGAGTTAAAAACAGATGACTTTACTAAAGCTATACATGATCCAACAAACTAACAGCTACTTAAGCCTCACCTTCTCATCCAATGCTTTATGATGTTCAAATAAAGACTTCAGGGCTTTCAGAACTTCAACTTCACTGGAAACACCAGATGGAGACTGAGCTTGCCGCTTCACTACAGTCATTCTCAAAGAGCGTTCATGCCTTGAGACCAGGCACTCCAAGTGCTCCAACAAAAGCTGAAAATTAAAGATCAGCTCCAGTTATTCCTTATGTAAGTCACTGTAAGCAGGATAAAGCTTTCTCTCTTTGATTTCAAAGTTACCAGATTTAACTGCAAGGCCATTTTCTGCACCAGAAATATAGGTATCAGACCAAGGCTGAACCTAATGGATAAGATTTTATGTATAAAAACAAGTTAATACAGTAATAAACAAACATACATACATACATACATTTTAGAGATTGTTCAGAGGAAATGTAGCACAGGGAGACATGGGTAAGCTTTTTTAAATTTCCTCAGATTAATTCAGAAATTATCCTTTTAAAAAAAAAAATGTAATGTGAGATGATCTATTACATCAGGGGTTCTCAAAATGGGGGTTGTAACCCCATAAGATGGTTGGAGCAGGGCTCACAGTTTTTTTTAAAGCTGTTCAGGTTTGTGCAGGCAAAGTGAGAATATTATCAAAATTCACTCATACTTTGTCTTGGTAAGCTCACTAGGGTCTTGTGCAGCCAAAACTGAGACAAAAGCCCAGACTGAGTTTTGAGAGATGGTTAAACCCCTGAGTCTAGCCATCTGTCAAAACCATCTGCCAATCATATCAGCACTGTGTCTGGCAGATGGTTTCCTGATAGTGTGGCTTGTGGTAGTACATCCAATCTTTGGAGCATCTCTACGTATATGAATTAGTGAAGTTCATACTTCTATTTGTCATTTTAAATTTCTAACATTTTGAATGGAAAAGGTTTTGCTGTGTGGTTAAGAGAAACCTAACAATCTACCAGTAATGCTGAAAACAGTAAACCTAAGCAAAGAAAGTATGGTGAAAGTTATATATCTCTTGCCCAACCTTACTCTCAATAGAATCTTTAGTTATATTCATGAAGGAATCATATAAATTCATTATCAGTTTAAGAGCTGCAGTATCTCATAATTTAACAACCCCTGCATTATATTACTTAAGGTATGGAAATAAAAGGCCAGGCAAGCTAGCAGTTTTTCTCTCCCTGAACTTGGCTCTTCTTTAGACACTGCCTTTAACAAGTCCCTAATGTTCTTTGCAGTGGTTTACAAATATTTGAAGGACTGTCACAGAGAGAAGGGTGTGGATTTATCCCCCATAACTAGACACAGTCCTGAAGTGCCGTTGCAAGTATAAAAACCAAGTTGCATTCTAATAAGAATAAAAAACAAGAACAACATTCTATAGAAATTAAATTGAATTTAACAGGGATTATGTTAAACCCTGCCATTTAATCAAGAGAACAAGTCTCCTATCAAATATTACTGATGATGGCAAATTCTACAGAAAGCCTTCAATCCTCTTAAATCTTGGGGAGAGAGAAAACTGCAGGTCTTCTGTGTATGGATCTATTAGACAGAGTCAGGGAAACCTTAGAGAAAGGCAGACCATGCTGCATCTAAATTAACCTAGGTATTCAATTCTAGGTTCACAAAGTAAGCCATAATATGATTTCTTACCTTTTGGCCTAAAATGATGTACAAATCAGGCCACTATGGCTTATTCAGTAACTTATGGTCAAATCATGGCTGAATGTTACCTGTGAATATAAATGTTCCTTTGGATCAAACTACTAACAGAACCGAGTATCTCCAGCATAAAACTCATTTGTTACTCACCCGCGTATTATTGCGTTCTGCTTTCAGCTCAGAGATCTCCTCTTCCCTTTCCAACAGCTGCTCTCGACATGCATTGAGTTCCCTGGTCAATGTTGCAAATTCCTGCAAGACAACCATAAGCTCCACAATCGAGTCAGGTTTCTATAGATTTTGCCTGAATGGATGTAATACTATAAAAAGAGAATGTATCCCTATCCCACCCCTACCCCCTACTGCCCAAGAAGGTCACAAAACAATTGCCAAAACAGGATTTTTGTTACACATCTGATTATGAATTATAAAGCCAGGTAAGTAAAATGCATAGTTGCTCTTCACCAAACAAAAAGCAGCGCAGCTTTCTTCTCAGCAGGTTTTTATGATATTTCACAAGGCATTCAAGTGTTCCAAAGTTAAGTTTATTACTTTGGTGTATTCTGAAATGGTAGTAAGATTCCATTACCACCAGTATTCCTGCCCTGTGTAAGTGTCATCTGCTCTCCTATATGAATTAAAGAAAGCAAAAAAACTGCAAGTAAAGAGTTTCAGTCTGTTCACTTAAGACAATTCTTAGCAAGTCTATCTTTGGTATATAAAATATCCCGAGTCTTATATGCCAGCTACAAATCGCCATCCATGTATTGTAAGAGAACAGTTCTTCTTTTGTTTTCCTACCAAGCAAGATTTGGACCAGCTTTCTGAAAGCCTCTGAGATTTGAACATAGCTTATATGGAAGCCTCCCTTAATCTTATTTGCACAACACCGAACCCAGGAGGTTGTTTGGGCTGAGAGTGGCTGCCCAAAGTAATTCTATGAGTTCTGAGCTTGAACCTGGGTATGTATGACCTTAAGTCTGCTCAGTAAATACTGCCACCATCCACTTCATTCCAGAGAAAATCCTTCTCTGCACTGGCTTACTTGAGAGAGGGGAAGTAGCAAACTACCTCTTCTGCTTTCCTTCCTTCATTGTTGCTTAGCCAAGCAGCCAGGCAAGTGATAAAATTCCTTATCAGAACAATTCAATAAGAAATGTAACATTTTCTAATGTATAATGAAGTTAAGGAACTAAATGGGAGATAAAGCCAAAAACAGAAAGGGAAATAGGAAAAAATAACAACTGAGTCTGTTGTATTTATCTCAGTGGCTGCTCCTCTAGTCAGGAAATGCACATACAGAACACAGGAAAAGCTACATAAAACAAAATAAAACAAAGGTACAGTCAGATCATTTCCCATTAAACAGAATTAAGATTGTAATTTGCATCTAGCTTAGTTCCTAGACTGCTCTGCATTTTCTGCATCCCCAATTCCCAGCTCCTGTGGAATCAGAGTGCTGCTTTTCTAGTTGTGAGCCAGCTGGGAGAAATACTCCATCGTCCCATGAGAGGAAATCACAAAACCAAGACAAAATTGATTTTGCCACCACCATGCACACATTGAGGGAAATCTTCTTGCTGCTGACTGCTCTTTAGTGCCTTCTGACTGTCTCCACGCACTCTAGACTGACAGGTTAGATGTTGGCTTTTCTCTTATGTCTAAACCTTTTTGGATGAGGTTTTTCCACACCCACTGCACCTGGCATTCCATGGTAGCCTCCCATCCAAGTACTAGCACTGGTTAGCTTCTAAACCCAGACAAGGTCAGACAGGTGCTGTCACCTGCTGAAATGAAATAACTAAATCACACTTCAAAATCTGTCATTTGCCACTGAATGTTGGTGGCATGATCCTGGGAGAGAACTGAGAGAACTAACAAAAAGATACTGATTGCAGCCTGCCCTGCTCTGACATACAATATTGTCCCCAAAGAGAGCACAAAGCTACAGCTGCCCTTCAGTGAACCTTTCACTATTATCAGACACTATATTTTTCTAACAAAAATCCAGTAACTAGCCTTTTTGCCTTTTTATAAGAATAGTGTTGCTGGATGTTTGTCACTTAGAGAAGCTGCTATGGTGATGACTGTGTTAGAGATGTAAAACATTCCTGGTGATACATGATGATGTACATCAAATAGGTAGTAAAGAAGTAAGTTAAGGTAATTAAAACAATAGTCATCTCTCACTTTCTCCTGCTCAAATTTCCCTTCTATAACTCAGAGGACTTAAAAAAGTAAATGACAATTAGAAAAATTTCTAACAGATGCAAGGATTACCTCAAAAAAGGCAGAAATGAACCAAGTAGTGTTCAAAACAGGGAAATAAAATAGGAACTATTTGGTGAGACATTTGATGAAGCATCTTTGGGAAGCCATTAATAAATTGTAATTTCATAATATGGAGGATCTGAAATAGCTTAGAGAACTCTTAATGGGCCATCTTTCCCAAATGTTAGAATATAAATAAGACAACAGCATTCATATAGTCAGACTGAATTTTCTCTGCTTGATATTTGGGTAAAAGAATCAAGATTCTGTAGTATAAGAGATGAGAAGGGAGAAATTCTTCTGTGTGTGTCTTTCACTGAGACAAAATCCAGGTACATGTATATTACAAGTAGTACTTGGTAAGGAAAGTCAGGAAAGTTAATGCAAAAGTTAATTGTCTGATTTACTTTATTGTAGTATGCATAACAGCAGGTTGGCTTTGGTCTCTTTGGACCAGAGATCCTTGCTTGCATAGAGTTGGTGTTACTGTTAATAGGGAATGCTGCATGTGGCATGGTTATAACTAAGGCTGGTAACCTGCTTCTTGAAGAGTGGTGGTCAACATTCATGTGCCCATCTGTTGATGAAGATGGCTTATGGAAGATTACAACTTGGATTGTAACATGAGTAAATGATAAAGAGTAGGAATGGAATGGAATGGAATGGAATGGAATGGAATGGAATGGAATGGAATGGAAGGAAGGAAGGAAGGTATTTTTGTGACTGTGAAACTAAGAGAAAGGGGAATGCTGAAACAGATTTGAATGAAGATGGCCTGATTTTATGCAATGGAGTTGATGAATACATGCAAGGAAGTGAAGGTGTAGGTTTAATTAAGAGCAAAAAGATAGGTTTAATTATGAGCAAAAGTAAGTATGACTTGGTGTCATCTAGGTTATTGTGTATGTGTATAAAAGTAGGAATTCATAGGTTGGTGAAAGTTGAGCGTTATGTCCTAATGAATGGTGATAGAAGAAAAATCAAAGATGAATTTGTGGGAAAACTGCAGCATTCTGAATGAATGCATCCCAGGAGTAAAAGTTATTCTATTAGGAAAGATGAAAGAATTTGTGAGAAAGAGATGAAAGAGTACAAGAAAAGAGAATCAAACCTGAACAAGAATGATGACTTATGAGTATCCGCTTAAAAAGGACTGTTTCAAATACCTGATTAAAACACGTGTTGCCATATGTACACACAAGGAATGATTCATTCATTCACAAGGAATGAATCTAAAAGCATGATTGATTTATTAATTAAGAAACAATGAGAGAATTTGTGGAGGATATTAGGATGAAGAGAGATTATACCATTATTTGGTAGAGTCAAGAATCAATTTTGGGAAAAAATGGACATCCAAAGAAGTAAATGATGGCAGAATGAAAATAGAATGACTGCAGGAAGAGAAAGGTTGAGTCCTGTATTAAAAGTTATTAGAGGATAAATTAACAAAATGAGTGGAAAGTAGTTGTAAAGAAAGACAAGATGGAACTGCTTGGAACAAAGTAAAACAAATCATATTACAAAGTTCTAGAGAAACATACATGGAGTTATGTTAATGGGAAGTATGAAAAAGGTTGCTTGGTGGAATGATGAAGTGAAAGAGGTATGGATGGAAAAAACATTCTCATATATAAGAAAATAATTGCTGCAAAAATGAAGGGAAGAAGACAGCAGATCAGGTGCTTAGAGAAAAAAGATCATTGCAAAATATATATCAAAAGGAGCAAGGAACTGATTAAGGAGCAGTGTTGATGGAAATAAAACATTGCTTTGGAAATCAGTGAGGAAGGCTATACAGAAAGCCTCTAGAAGAGTGAATGGAATTAAAAATAAAAGTGCTGAAATAATTTGGAATGAAACTGAAGTGAGGGAATGCTGGAAAGAGTATTTTAGAGATTTCTATCAGAATTATAGTGTTATAGTGAAATTGAAATAATTGCTATAAATAATTGCTATAAATTATAAACATCAAAAATGCTGCGAATGTTGAAAAATGTAAGGTTGCAAGAATAGATGATATAACATGGAGAAATATTAAAATATGGAAATGACTTGCTTATGGAAAAGCTAGGTGACTTGTTCCAATTAGCGTGAGGACTACATCTACATCTGATGGTTGGAAGTATGCCATTATTATTCCCTTATACAAAAGGAAGGGTAGCAAAAGTGAATACAAAAACTACGAAGAGATTATTTCTTATGTATGCAAGATTCTGTTAATGTAACCTTACAATAAAGATAAGAGTTAGTATTCATGGTTATGCTTCTTGTCTGGACTATCTTGAAGGGCTCACATCAATCTTTCAAGACCAAAAGTACTTCTCCCCTCTTTTCCTTTTACTGTCTGGAAAATTAGGGAGGGTCACTTCTGAAATGCTTCCTACTCCCCCTCTGTGGATTGAGATATCTTTTACATGCTGGTTGTCCAGTCTGAGGCTCTTCCTCCTGTCTATCAAGGTAATTCCCACATATTATTACAGATACAGACTTGTGAGATTCCCCTTAATTTTTAAGCTAAACACCAATTTAAAACAGTTACCTTTTGGAACCCAGTATTAGTGTGTCGCATTGGAATCATGGCTCTTGTAGATATATTTAACAAGTTTTTCTCCTTCCATTAGTAAAATTCTTTATAAGCTTATATTATTTGGAATGATGAACTGTATAGTCATAAATTTGTCAGATGAGACAAGACACCAGGGCCAGCTTTAGTTTAAGGCACCAGCCTAGGGCACCAAACCTAAGGGGATGCCAACACCATCCTCCATCCAAATTATTCTAAAAATAAATCTTTGCGTCAGCAGGAGGTGGTGCCATCAGTCATTGTGGCCTAGGGGTGGCATATACCCATAAGCTGGCACTGAGGACATCTATATATGAATTAGGGAATTGAAAATACCACATTTAAATATTTTAAAATTAAGTCCTACATGAAGAGGCTACTTTAAGGGTAATCTTCCTCCATCTTACCCTTTACA